GTTTTCATTTTTGTATTTTTAATTTTTTTTATGCTTCCTTAAATTTTGTAGCCCAGGCAGGTGCTTCTTCACACAGTGCTTCACTCATCTCACTGGTCCTGGCTCTGGCTCCGAGGTACAAATTTTGGAGAAGTTTCCAAACCAATGTAAGCAAGGATAGGAAGCCGGATTCTAGAGGTTCAACTTCTCCTGGAAAGATGGTCTCTTCATATTCTCCTGGAACTAATGTGGAGGCCTCTTTCATAATCATTACCCTTTTTTCTCTTTCCCATGGTGTGTTGCCTGGTGTGTCAAAAGCTTTGGGGATGCCAATCAAAGGGAAAAATTGAAATACCGGTGTAGGAGTTGAGTTTAGGTCTGTCATTCTCAACTTTGGGCAGACATTAGAATCACCTGAGGTACTTGAAAAGCCCAATGCCCAGGCTGCACACTAGACCAATTAAATTGAATCTCTAGGGAGAGGGACTGGGCACTGAGAGGGTTTGAAGCTCTCTAGGTGATTCCAAGCAATAGTGGCTGATAACCACTGGGCTACAGGGTTAGGATTTTTGAAGAAACCTATCAGCCCCAGAATATCTTCCTCATTGGTCTGCCTCAGTCTGAATTTCCTACTATTCTAAGCCTTGAGCAGTGATACCATGCCCACTAATCAGGATTGGCCAAAATAAGTTTGGTTACTGTTTTATATTGATTTTGACAAGAAGTAGAGGCTCAACTTGAAGCACTTGTTGTAAGTTAATTTCAGTAGGAGATAGGCATGTTTATCCAGTTAGAATTAGCTTTGGTTGCATATAATGAAAAATCCCAAATAACAGGGCCTTAAGATAGAAATCTGAAGGTAGATAGTCCAATGCTGGTATGGCATCTTTATGGTCGTAGGGAGTTTAAGTTCCTTTAACTTTCCCATTCTACCATTCTAGTGTGTGTTTCCTGTCTTTGAGGTCACCTCATGGCCCACGATGGCTGCTGGAGCACCAGCCATTATAATTCGCTTTCCAGGCATGAAGTAAAAGAAAATGGGGGAATGGGCAAGAAAGTTCCAGTCGGCTTCCTTTAAGGAGCCTTCTCTTTTCTTTATATTTCATAGGCCAGAACTTTATCAAATGCCTATATGCATGGAAGGTTTTGGTAGGTACCTTTGCCCCCCAAATAAAAATCAAACCTCTTTAAAGAAGAAGGGGGAGGGGTGCCTGGGTGGCTCAGTGGATTAAAGCCTCTGCCTTCAGCTCAGGTCATGATCCCAGGGTCCTGGGATTGAGCCCCGCATCGGGTTCTCTGCTCAGCTCGGAGCCTACTTCCCCCTCTCTCTGTCTCTGCTGCCTCTCTGCCTACTTGTGATCTCTGTCTGTCAAATAAATAAAATCTTAAAAAAGAAGAAGAAGAAGAAGAAGGGGCAAATGGTAGGTAACTAGCAGTTTGTAGTTGTAGCATGGAGCTACTACAAACCCAAAGTTTGACCGTGGGAGGGAACAAAGGCTTGGAAGCAGAATTAAGTCATATTGAAGAAGAAATGATGATTCGTTCATCTGGTTCCCAAAAACTTGCTCCTGTGGGTCTTTAATGGGAGAAGCATGTTTTCAATTGAGCAGCTGGGTCAGGCCCTATTTCTTGTTTCAATAAATTCCTGGTTCCTAAGCACAGCAGTCTCAGCCTTACTTTTGGGTCAGTTGTCTCCCCAGGGAAGCCCTCTTCTTCAAGCGCCCAGATCTAGAAGGTTGTGACACCCCAGGTGCTTTCTGCCTACCCTCGTCTGGATGGTAGAATAAGTCATTGCTAGGCCGGAGGCAGAAGACAGAGGGCGTATCTTGGTGGACCCTGGCTGCATTCTGTGAAGCTTCCTTTTTCACTCCCTTGGAGAGTTAGTCACACGCTGTATCAGTTATGATCTTAGCAGGAAGCGAACTCCAACTCGGTTCAAAGGGCTCTAAGGACTATAGGCAGCCCTCATTTTGCACGGTTCTGATATAGATGAATTTCAATTATTGTTAATTTCAATGATTTTCAATGATTTTAAATGATGCCAGACCCCCAACAAGATTGTTACAATTTCAGTGACACTGGTATATTAACTGCAAGAAAGTGTGTACAGCCTCAGTTGCAAAGGTACAATTGGATGGCTAGCTCTTCCGTCCAGAAATCACTAGGTAAACAGCAGATATGCAATGTGATCGGTGGCCAGCCATGTCACCTCTTTCCAAGACGGTGGGTGACTGGCCTCTGCACATGGGTTACTCCATTCATGCACAGACAGCAAAGCCAGCAGTTGTGGTACCTCCTGGTCTCCCACTGATGAACTCGGGGGACGTTTTACAAAGAAGGGTAACAAACAGGGAACTGGCGAATAACGATGAAGATGCGGCAAATCAATGAAACGTGAAATTTGAATATAGGTGGGGAGTTAGGAACAGGCAAGGCGCTGTTCCAACTCCTCCTGGCTAGACTTTTCCAAAGAAATACTTTCTCAATGTCTGCAATGTTTCAAATTAGTGTATTTAGTATTGGTACTACTTTTCCTCTTATCAGCAGTAAGAGGGTTTTAATGTTTTCACAAACCTTTTGAAAGGCCAGTCGTAATTTTCCCCATGGATTGTTAAGGTTATTTTGCATAATTGTAGCTTGCTTGGTCCTTTTTACAGTCCCTCAAACCATGGTGAGGACCCCTATATTTAGAGAGATATGCGGGGGCCTGTGTGGCTCTGTTGGTTAAGTGTGTGCCTTCGGCTCAGGTAGTGATCCGGGTGGTCCTGGGATCGAGCACCTGTATGGGCTCCTTGCTCCGTGGGGAGCCAGCTTCTTTCTCCCCCTCTGCCTCTCCCCCTGCTTGGACTCTGTTCTCTCTCAAGTAGATAAGATCTTTTTTTAACAATAAAAGCTATGGGCGTTCTCAGCAAGTGAGCAAGGGATAGCGGGCATTCAGAAGCTCCCCACAGCAGGGAGCACTTTGTAGGGCAGGACTGTCAGTGGGGTGGGGGGCGCAAATGGTGCTAGGGGAGTCTCACAGCAGAAACACATGAGAGAGCTCTGTGCAGAGGGACACAGCCACAGACAGAAAATGCAGCCCAGCCCACAAAGGAGGACTGGGAGAAATACCCAAACACCTGCCTCTTTGCCCCCCTCCCCCAGCTTGGCAGGTGCTTCCTTCCCAGTGGGTGAACCCAGCTGAAAGGCAGCTGGCGGTGGGTATGGGTCTGGGCCATGCAGTCTGATCAGACTCCTGCTGCAACTGACAGGGCAGAAGTGGGCAGAGCCCGGATGGGGGCTGAAGTACACTAACACATGTTGACATTTTTATGTTCATGCCCTGCAGTCAGAGGGCAAAGTCACCTGGATCTCTGGGGCTAAGTGCTAGCACATTCCCTTAATAAAGACTAAGTGAACACACATGGGAATGTGGGGTTCCATTCTCCCAATGGCAAGGTTCCTAAGAACTGCTGACCCCGGAGTTTCCCTGGTGCTGCTTGTCCTATTGGCTGGGACAAGAAACACAAACACTTGGGGTCAACCGGAAGGAGAAAAAGCGAACTCCATGTTTCCCAGCTAGTGTTTACAGGAAAAATTTCTAGAGAGAGTCCCCCAGACTCGGTTGATTTTCAGCAAGATGGGCTGGGCAAGTTTCAAATTCCATTCTAAATGCAACTGACAATGTCAGGGTGGGCGTGGGTATGTCTCAGATGTTACAGCATATAAAACATATTGCTTGGGATCAAGGGCTCAGGCATTTTACTTTCTGCCATGAGTTTCCGTAACTTATATAAGGCGTCTCACATGCTTTAGTTACACCTTTGGAAATCTTTTAAGGGTCTGGGAACTTCATTAAACAAAACTTACTGAAATAGAAAGCAAGCGCTGGTTGGCCTTCTGCAGGTTGCTTTCGCTCTGTTGCGCAGTCTCCTGGTAGGTCTCTGGCTGTCTGCAGCTTTATTGTCTGAGCCTGATTCCGGGGGGGGGGCGGGGGCGGGACACCTCCATCCAGGAGGTCCTGGACCCTGGGGTCTCCCCACAAAGCCCATGTTGCTGGCTTCCTTGCAAGAGGGTGAAGAGGACTGGCAGGGCAGTTTCTCAGCCTTAGCACTACTGACATCTGGGGCCGGATAACCCTTTGCTGTGAGGGCCGTTCTGTGCATTGCCGGACTTTAGCATCCCTAACACCCACCCACTAGATGCCCGCAGGGCTGGTTCCAGCTGTGACAGCCCAGATGGCCACAGACGTTGCTGCGTGTCCTTTGCGGGGGCAAAAATCACCCTCCCCCCACCATGGAGAGGCGAGGAAGCCGTGAGAGAAGAGGGTCCTGGCGAAGCCCTCACAGAAAACAACCATGCAAAAGATAGTTGAGCTGTATCCCATTTGTCTGATGCTCCAAATTCAGGGTCTTAAAAACCATATTTACCAAGCCCATATTCAGCACACATGACTTCATGGAAGGTTTTAAAGGAAACACTCTTCTGTGAGTTTATTTCTTCATCTTCTTCACCAGTAGTGCACAGGTTGTGTCACATTTGCTTAGGTTTCCCCCCGCCCCGCCCACCCCTTGCCCTCTTTTATCCTCACGGCATCTCCCTCAATAAAGCTGTTGCATGTCTAATCCCATCTTGGCCCCTGCTTCTAGGAGGATTTAAACCGAGTTCCATTTTGACTTGGGTGTGCTGCCAACTGAAGCCTCGTGTTCCCCCCCCCCCCGGGTGTGGCTCCGATGGCGACAAGAGAGCTAGTGGCAAGAAGCAGAGCAGACTGACAGCCTCAACTGCCACCCCCCCCCAAGGGACAGGAGGCCAGGCACCCCCTGGCCGCCTCTGGGCAATGACTGAGCACGGCAGGGGCATGGCAGGGGTCCCGGTGCCACACGGTTCCCACCCAATGACTTGGGGACTCTTCTAATGGGGAAGTTCAGCCTCGGGAGACCCCAGTGGCCTGGCCAAGATTTTCTCAGAACTGCACTGCAGCCTGTGGCCTGTGGTTCTTCCCCTTCCGTCCTCCTTTCCCTCCCTGCTTCAGCAGGAGGGCTGGGCTTATATGTCTGAAGGCTCCCCCTGCCTGTTCCTGCTCCCTCAAATCCTTGTTCCCTCACAGGTGTTTCCCCAAATAACCCTCTTGCACGTCTAACCCCATTTTGCGGTCTGTTCCTCAGAGGATCAGACAAGTAATGGATTCTCTTCACTACAAAAATTGATTTGTATAAGCCCAGATCGTTTGTAGCAAAACTATATCCCAGGTAATCGAATAGTTATAATAAAGGTATTATAACTGGATGTACCAGAAAATTGGGTTGTATGATCACGCTACCTCGGTTTCCTAAGGGAGTGGATTGTATTTCTAAGTGAGGATTATCTGTGCTAAGAATGACCACTTCTTATTGCCTTCCCCACCCCTTTACTGGACCTTCTTTCATTAATTCAGAAATCACCTGCTCAGCAATCATATCCTAATCCCTCCTACCCTACTTCCTGCCCCACCCCTGCCAACATGGCTTTGGAATCCCATTCTATCCAGAGAGAGGAAGGGAACCCTGGATCTGTACAGGTGACAGAGATATGGATATTTTAAGCTAAGATGCTATTCCCTCCCCAGTCTACCTCCCACAAATCTCTCTCCTTATTCTCATCCATCCGTTCTTCCTCTTCCAGTGGGATGATCGTTATCCCACCATGAAGATATGAGAGTAGGAGAGAAGGTTGCAAGTTGAGGGTCAAGGCTTTACCTTTGCAGCGAGAAAGAGAAAACAGTCCATGGCAGCAGGCTCGGACCAGCCAGGGGCTCACAGCTAGACTGTGAAGTTCTGCTGTAGAACAGAGTCAGTCTCACAGATCCCAAAGTCTGACAATACAGGACCATTCCATGGTCATGTCTGAGGGCAGACAAAATCATGGCCACTGTGTAAACCATAAAAACCAACGTTCCCCACCCCAAGCTAACACAAGTGAAGGCTGACTCTTTACCAACCACAGCTTTAGCTCTGCTGCTTGTGTTTCCCGTTCTATATAAAAATTGAGATACCCAATCATAGAATTGATCCCGCTTCCTTGAAACTGCCCCCACAGTACCTAACACAAGTTCTATTGTAAGTCCTTTGTAACACCTTTGGACTGAGATGTCCCTGGACTCATAGAGACAGGTACGCAGTCTCCCTCATTGCAACAAATCAGTAAATCCAACTTTGTTCCTGATGGTCTATGGCTATGGACAGAGACAGATGGTCCACATGTGGCCAGGTCCTGGCCTGTCCTGGGACTTCAGCTCCCGGGCCTGTTTCCAAGGTGCTGGATCCATCCTATGAAAGAAAGAGAGAAGAAACTGAAGGCAAGACAATGACCAAAAAAAAAAAAAAAAAAAAAAAAAAAGGTTTCATACACATAGCTGAGGTATAGATGAATTTCCTGACTCCAGTTCCAATTCTAACTAGTGGCTCTGTGGCCTTGGACAATTCCTACAAAACTGGAGCTCCATGTGTCCCTCACAGACCTGCAAAGTAAGTCTTAAACAAGTCAAGAACGAGAACAAGCTGAGCCCAATGGCCGACATATGAAAAGCGCTTGCTTGTGGCTGGGAGAAACTGGCAGGGTGAGGGAAAGGTGGAAGGTACAGAGAACATGATGGGGAAAGTCGGATCATCTCAGGGACAGAGAAGAGTTAAGAACATCAGAGGGAAACAAAGCTGCACATGGAACCTTGGAGGCAGGCCAAGTTCTTCCCTGCTGGGAATCCTCTGCCCTTTAAGTATCACTCAGCCAAGGGAAAATAGATGTGGGGAGGAAATGGTGTGGGGCTGGCAAGATTGGGCAGAGAAGCACCCAGGGAGGGGTCAGGGAGAAGAGGAGAGGGACATCTGCCCCTGGGAATGGAGTTCAAAGTCCACCTCTGAGTGCCAGCTGAAGCGGGAGCCCCAGATGGGCAAGCGTTCCCCTTACCTTTATGTGTCAGAAGGAAGCTAGACTCCAGAGCAGATGCCTACGGCCCAGCCTCAACAGCAGCCTTTATCATATTCTCCCCAAGAGTCCACCTTGGGTTCTTCAAGCAGCCACCAATTTAGAAAACGCACAGGCCTTTCAAGAGAAACAACAGATCAGTAATGAGGGTGGCCTTCCAGAGACTCAAGAGGCCAAAATTAACAGCCCAACTACCAACGAGTGAGGGGACGCCTTTAGGAAAACATGCTTTTAAGGAGGAAGGAGACGAAAGGGGCCATGAGCTCGAGGAACAGACAGGTGCCTGAAGAGTTTCCGCACTTCCCACCTGAGCCCCCCTGGGAGGAGCGGCAGGTGCCCCGGCAGGAGGGCCCTAAGCCTCGCCATCCTTGCACACTGCCATCCTTCCGAGATGCGGACTTTAACTGTGGCAGGATGTCGGGTCCCCACGGGGGAGATGCATGCTCACCCCGCCCCCCCCCAAAGGTGGGCCCAAACCCTGGATGAGGTGTCTGCTGGAGCAAACCTCTTCTGTCCTCGGCGGTGAAAACGTTCACCACAAACTCACCCGGCCAGCCCGTGGCAGTTTCATGGATAAACGGGCTCGTTCTCCATCCGCCCACGTCCTCGACTGGGGGTCCTGGCAGTTTCCTCCCTCGCACGCCGCGGTGGCCTCAGCCCTGCCTTCGACGGGCTTCTGCGCTCCGATCGGTGCCCTCTCCCTGGAAACCCACGTGCAAGGCCCCTTTGCGGGCCGGGCGGGGCCGGAGCCCACCGCCTTCGCGGTGCTGTCCCACCCTCACCGGAGGGCCGTTCTCTGCAGTGTGCAGAGGGGGTCAGCGTGCGGAGGAAAGAGAACCGACTCGACTTCGCGAGACCAACGGCGCCAACCGCCTGCAGAGACCCAGCCAACGGCCGCCCGGCCCCGCCCCCGCCCCGCCCCCTCATGGCCCCGCCCCCACACGCCCCCGCCCCGCCCCCGTCAGGCTCCGCCCCAAGCCGGCTCCGTCTGGCCCCGCCCTGCCAGGCCCCACCCCCGCCCCATCGGGCTCCTCTCTGCTCCCGCCCCTCCCCTCTCCAGCAGGTCCCCGCCTACATCACGCCCCTGCCTCATCCGTTTCCCAACCCTCACAGCCCAGCCCCACCCGCCCCCTCCACGCCCTCGCTCCGCCTTGGCCTCCCGCTCCCTCCCCTCGCTTAAGCATCGCCCACGGGGTCTCCTCCTCCAAACCTCAGGGTCTCTCTCACTCTCTGGGCCTGTGTGGCCCAGGCCCCAGGCGTCTTTTGCGCCAACTGTCCTCATCCTGGTCCATTTCAAACATAGTTTAAAATCACGACTTGGAAGTGGGAGGCAGGATGGAGAGCAGGCACAGCTGGTTTGGATATACGTCTCAAGACCTGCCTTATTCTTCCCTGGGAGGTGAGAAGGAAGAAAGGATCTGCGTTGTCTGGCCTCAAGGCTCTTGCCTCACAGCCCCAAGATGAGAGCTTTACTTCAGGACGTAGGGAGATCTGGAAAGATTAGGATCTTTGCATGGGGATTTTTGTTGTTGTTGGCATTTTGGGTGCAGCTCTTGGAGATGTCTGGGAGGAATATGTCCCCTGAACACCAGCAGTCCTATGTGTAGTGGTCCTCTTGTGGCAAGAGCTCTTTCATTGGGATTTGCTGGTAGAATTTGACCAGCCAAGGGGATGAAGCTCGTGATTCCCTTCCGCTTTCCGCCCGTCATCGCTTGTGCAGCATCTTGGGGCATCTGTTCAGAGAAGGGTCAAGGATGGAGTCTGTTCCGTAGAAGCTCATCCCTAGTGTAGCCATTATCTTCAAAACCTTCTTCCTGATTGTTTGGGTCCCTTAAAGAACCAGGGAAAGAGAACTTGAGAAATGTCAACTCAGAAACTTGAGAAGGGACTAAAACACTGTAGAAGTGTCCACACTCTCCAGAGTGCCACCCTCTCCAGGGAGCTGTTTGGTTATTTTTATTTTTTACTTTTTTCTGGATGGCCTGAATATGGGTTTCCTCTCCCCTTCAGGTGAGAACAATATTAGGTTGCTATTAAAGAAACAGTAGTTCTCTCTGCAAAGGTTTGGAATTAAGATTAAAGCTTGAGGTGAGCCTGTTTCTTACAGGTGCAGAATCTACCACCTTCTAGCTGCTCTGGTCGTCAGCATAACTGAGGGCCATGATAGAGTGCATGATTTCTTTTTATAGCATCCAAAATGTAAGTCATTAGTAAAAGGATATTGCTAGGAAATCATTGCAATATGCTTTAATTGGTTTTTAGATTAATGTAGCTTGTTTGCTAATGCAAGTAACTTGCAATGCATTTTCTGTTACCTTGGGAGGAATGCTCGAAAAAAAAGCTCCAAATTGGGAAAACTGAATGGAAACGGGCAGAGTCCTCATCACATCTTCTTACTGCCTCTCCAGCCTCAGCCTAATGTTCCTCTTCTAGTTTAGAATTGTCTTAGTAGCTCAAGAGAGCATGCCCCACTCCTTGAATGAATGGATGAATGCAATCACCTAAGGTTTGTAATCTCCTCCCCCACCCCCCTTCCGCATCCCATCTGCCACGAGTGGGAACCTTTCCTTCTAGCACTTCACGTGGCAGCTGCTTTTCCACCCACGCTAAGCCTTCGTACCATGTCTTCCATGTCGTATGTATTCGATAGGAGTGAATCGAAATAACTGAATTGAGTTGGATACCCAGCAGAACAGATAGCACGCAGTTTAGTGCCACCTGTGCTAAAATTCTTCATGCAGACCAAAGCAGATGTGATTCCATGTTCAATTACTGCTCAACTCTTGGCAAGGATCTGAAGACAGATAGAAACATCTTGATCTCTTTGTGCAAGAAGTCGGCTTGCAGCATCTGTAGCAAGTGTAAATTTTTATCTCAAAAATCGATGTCTCTGTCCTGGAGAAAATAAGTTAGATTGATTTTTTTTTTTTTAACACCAAAGACAGAGACTTCATTATCTCGAAAGGGGTTTGTTATCCATGTTATTTAAGGAAAACATAATTGAAGATACAACTTCATCCTGGGTATCCTGGACTGATTTGGCACTAGACGTTTCTTTAAAATGTATAGGGCACTTTTGTCTTCATTACTGGAAGTGTCTCTGTAGCCAGTGCCTCTCAAAGAGACTATCTGCTGAAATATCACTGGGTTGCCATTCAAGAGGAATTGAGAAAGATTTCTGGAAAGAGCTAACCCTTGACTGGAAGGATCTCCTCTGAAGAATGTATTTTCCCCATTGTCCTTCCTTCAGCTGGGCCTCAGTTTCTGCATCTGTAAAATTAATGGGCTGGTCACCGGATAATCTTGACCATTCATTCTAATTACAACTTTCACAATTCTTTTTATTTTGTTTGTTGGTTTTAATTTTTGCCAGCAGAAATGAAGGGCAATTATTTAGCTAATACCAAATGATAAATGTTAGGTGTCTTTTGTTGTTGTTGTTCTTTTTTTTTTTAAGATTTTATTTATTTATCTGACAGAGAGAGAAATCACAAGTAGACAGAGGCAGGCAGAGAGAGAGGGGGAAGCAGGCTCCCCACTGAGTGGGGAGCCCGATGTGGGGCTTGATCCCAGGACCCTGAGATCATGACCTAACCTGAAGGCAGAGGCCCAACCCACTGAGCGCCCCTTTTGCTGTTGTTCCTAAAAGTGATTCTGTGGGCGGCTGGGTGGCTCAGTTGGTTAAGCCTCTGACTTCAGCTTGGGTCATGATCCCAGGGTCCTGGGGTTGAGTCCCACATCAGGCTCAGTGCTTGGCGGGGAGCCTGCTTCTCCCTCTTCCTCTGCCTGCCGGCCCCCCTGCTTGTGCAGTCTCTCTCTCCATCAAATAAATAAATAAAATCTTTAAAAAAAAAAGTGATTCTGTAAGGAAAGACTTCTGCTGTCACTAGGTCTCCCAAAGTATTTGTGTCCGTAGGTAAGTCTTTGCATTTCAAATAGAAACTCTGAAAATAGCAAGATAATAAAGTCTGGCCTCTGTAGACCAGGCATTGTTTAGCATGAGTCACAGACTGTCTTTAAAATACTGGAAATCTTAATTAGTGTTTTTTCTTCCTAAATCAATTTTATTGAGATGTAATTGACCTACCTTTAAATGTACACAGTTGAAGTGTACTGCTGATCAGTTTTGACAAACAATTGCTCCCAAAGAAACCGCCACCCCTATCACCCCTAAATGTTCCCTCATGTCCTTTTGTCGCCAGTCCTCATCAGACTGGGTCTTCAGTATACATACATCATCCCTTCACATCTCCCCCCTCCCTTTTTTTTAAGAGATTTTATTTATTTCTTTGACAGAGATACATCGAGAAGGAACACAAGCAGGAGGAGTGGAAGAGGGAGAAGCAGGCTTCCTGCTGAGCAGGGAGCTTTATGCAGGACTTGATCCCAGGACCCTGGGATCATGACCTGGGCTGAAGGCAGATGCTTAATGACTGAGCCACCCAGGTACCCCGTCGCATCCCATTTTTTGACTTTCCTAGGGACACAGAGGTGAACAAAGACCATATACCTGCACTCAGGAGGCTTACACTCTAGCACTGTAGGGTGAGCCCAAGCCCCAGCTTAACCAATTCAGTCTCTCTTACTGGGTAAGGAGACAAGACTCTGTTTAGACCTTTGGAGGATGCCCCTTACACTTGAAATAAATCGCTTTTTCCCTTGGGGGTGCCCAGGTGGCTCAGTGTGTAAAGCATCTGTCTTTGGCTCACGTCATGATTCCACGGTCCTGGGATTGAGCCCCATGTTGGGTCCCTGCTGTGTGGGGAGTCTGCTTCTTCCTCTCCCTGTGTGTGCTCTCTCTCTCTCAAATAAATAAATAAAATCTTAAAAATACCAAAACAAAACAAAAGGTGACTGGGTGGCTCAGTTGGTTACACGTTTGCCTTTGGCTTGGGTCATTGTCCCCGGGTCCTGAAATTGAGCCCTGGATCTGATTGGGCTCCCTGCTCAGTGGGAAGTCTGGTTCTCCTTCTCCCTTTGCTACTCCCAATCGCTCCCAAAGGTTCTTTCACTTTCAAATAAATACATAAAATCTTTAAACAAAACAAACAAACAAAAAGAAAATTGCTGGGGCGCCTGGGTGGCTCAGTGGATTAAGCCTCTGCTTCGGTTCAGGTCATGATCCTGGGGTCCTAGGATCGAGCCCTGCATCGGGCTGTCTGCTCAGCAGAGCGCCTGCTTCCCTTCCTCTCTCCCTTCCTCTCTCTCTGCCTGCCTCTCGGCCTACTTGTGACCTCTCTCTGTCAAATAAATAAATAAATAAATCTTTAAAAAAGAAAATTTCTTCCCCACCCCCGCAGGATGAGGAAGTTCTTAGTGTGTTTTTTACAGCTGAACACCAATGGAGTCTTCTCTTCTGTGCCTTTTTTTTTTTTTTTTTTTTTTTTGGCAACAGCTCTGGAAGCCAGTCCCAGAGCTCTGAGTGGGTAATAGAGGGGAGCAGAATTGCTGGATTCTTCAGATGCATTTTGTTCTCCTTCTCTTGAAGGTGGTAGCTTATTTTAGAAAAACACTCCGCCCACAAGAATTATTTATTTTTCTGAAGAATCATGATGTAATAGCAAATGGGACAAACAATGTAGAATAAGATGGCAAAGTTAGATACAGGGCTGGTTAATATCCTACAGGGGCATGAAATCATAACCTCTGAGGTTTTCTTTTCTGCTGGACAGAGTTCATTTACATCTCTGCCTGACAACAATCATTCTCGACTTACCAATTTTCTGCAAATGAACATACACTCTTAACAGAGTCTAAGTCCCAATCAATAGTAAGTCAACCACAAATTTCATTTCCTTATAGCACTGGATGATCTTTAGATGAACTTGTTAGACAATGCTCTGGGAGACTCGGGAAGGATGTTCAGTCCATCCTTTTG